ATGTGGTGCTGGGGGATTGAACCGCGGTCCCTTGTGCTTTGCTAAGCTTGTTCTAAGTAGGTGCTTTAGACCACTGAGCCATCTCCCCAGCCCCTCCACTTTCTTTTAAAGTGTATAATCATCACTTCTTACTTTTTTGCTAAGATCAGGTGTGGTAAAGTACATAATCATTGATTTTTTTTATTAAGACTTTCTTTAAATTACCAAAAATTTCTCTTTTATCATTGACTCACATTTCCTCCTGTTTAAGTCTATATACATTTGTTTGTTTTTGAAAATAATTCATTCAAAAATTTGAATTCATTTCATTCTTTTCCTTGGCACTTTCCACATTTCTTTAAGCACTATAATTGTTATCAAAATATACTTCTAATTCATACAATTTTTAATCTGTACCTTGACCCTTCATAATCCTGTGATGCCTCTCTCTAATGACTTTTTGCTTCTAAAATTGGGGTTATTGCTATTTTCTTGTTTGTGAGGTTTTTAAATGCTTTTGTGCTCAGATGGAGTTTCAGTAAATGATTGCTGTTACTGGTGCAGGGATTAATTATGACTTTTAATGTTATTTAAATATTGCCTCAATGGTATTTTCAGTCTATAAATCTCCCAGTATATACCTGTGACTTTTAAATTGGTTTGTTGAGTCAGACATTTTGGAATGGAGTTGTGCTCACCAAAATGATCATCTTTATGACCTTGAGAAAGTTATTTAAATTTTCTTAAGTACAGAAGTATCATCCCTCCACCACAGAAATAGTACGAATTCACTGTGACAAGAGTGAAGAAAAAAGTACATGAGGTGAAGTAATTTTTGTATCATACTTCTTACGACATACAGTAGGCATGTAAAAATTTGAGCTTCTGTTCTTAGTGACTCAATAAATCTCTTTTATGTGCTTATTTTTTCAATGTCTCTCTTAAACTGAGACCACTATCATCAATGGAATTCTTATTGGTATAAATATAATATGTATTTCCCCTTTGACTATCAAAAGAGCACTTCTACCTACTGAAGACCCCTACAGGTCCTTCTTGTAGAGAATGATTGCTGGGTAAGTTCTTCCAGGGAGAGGAAAAGCATGTTCACTACACAGATAAGAATAGGAAACAAAACCACACCATGATTTAACCAAACAGACAGCAAGTATGATTGTCGTCACTCAGGTCTGATGACAATTTAATTACCTAAATGTATAACTGATGGATTTTATTAAAATATTCAAAGTTTACATGAATCCACTCATGCAATAAAAATGAAAAGGTGAAATAAATGTTTAGAATCCTCATGATAACAGTAGCCAATTCTATCAAGACCTAAAGAGTGAGTAGTAATGCAAGTCAGAAAAATGACAATTAGGGGCTGGAGAGATAGCTCAGTAGAATAAGCGCTTGTCTGGCAAGTACAAGAGCCTGAGTTCAATCCCAGGTTCTGTAAAAAAAAAAAAGAAGAAGAAAAAAAGAAAGAAAATGTCATTTAGAGTCAATTTGTCTTGCAGGACTGTATATGAAGGTCTTCTCTGAAACAGAAGTATATGAGCTAGGAGAGGAAGGGTGGGTCATTGCTAATCAAGGACAGTAAGAAATAGCAGCATACTCCAGGATCAGAGGATAGAATACATGATTGCTTTATGAGAAGGTGAATTTGCACAGGAGGGGAGGGGGCTTCAGAGGCTGGTATGATCGAGGGATCGGGAACAAGAGGAAAACAAGACAAAGAGTTGAACTTTCTATAATTATTTTTAATTTATAAATGAAAGTCCATTTTATAATATATAAATGAAGTCCATTTTGTATCTGTGTATTCAAAATGGTTAGGATATATAATTATATCCTCTTAATGAATAGAGGTATTTGTTCTAATAGTGTTTGTAAATAGGATATCATGCCCGCATCTTGTACAGCAAATAACCACTAGGAAGAATGTATATAATGTGTTAATTATTGAAACTGTCCTACCAATTTGATTTGAAGCTGTCTCATTGCTATTTGTCTATCAATAAAATTATGGGAAAAAAATTTTTAAAAATCATTTTTAAGTCCCTCTCTCACTGGTAAATTCATGTTCATTTCTGGGTCTGAGACTGTGACAGCTTTGACTCATCATGTGTCCTTTCAGGAAATTATATTGAGCCTGTCACAGTACTGGTGCTCGACAAATAAAATGTTGGAAGTAGAATACCAATACCAAAATGTCCATTGTAACACAAAAGAGAAATGTTGGGACCAATTTTATGCCTGAATATAAACACAGAGTTCACTAAAGAAGTTAAATAGAATGTATTCATATCTACTATCAAAGAAAAATCCTACATTTATAAGTAAAAACAATTCTGGGAGTGAAGTTCATAGATATTTGTTAGTATAATTCATTGAACACTTAAGTAAATGAGGTGAAATCAGAGCCAGAAACACCATAAACCACACGCAACAGGAGATGCTTACATTAAAAGATTACACTAGGAGGGCCGGCCAGATAGCTCAGCAGATTAGAAGTACCTGCTTAGCAGGGGACAGTGTTCAGTCATCCCTGGCGTGCAGTGCCGCCCCCCAGTCCCCACCAGGGCACACTGAGATGGCGATTGAGATTGGACGTGGTGGCACACACCTGTAATCCCAGTGCTTGGGAGGCTGAAAGCAGGAGAATCACTAGGAGTATGATATGTGTAGTGAGACCCTATAGACCCGATACTAAATGCACTTTTTAAAAAAGACTGCACTATGTGTGTTAAACTCATGAACATGCGATTGCTGTTAAATTTCAATCACTCAATATTTTCCTGACCTTTTAAAGGGGTTGATAATATGAGAAAAAATTGATTCATCAATGAGTGACAGTAATAATTATGTTGTTGTTAGGTGCTATTGTAGACATAGAGCAGAAGTGATAACTACAACCATATAGAGTGAGGCCTATGGTCAACTAAAAAAGCTGCTAGTGAAATTAAAAATATTGAATAAAATGCCAAATAAAGTTGAAACAAAATAGCCAGCATCTCACACATAATAGATCTTTTGTTTTTATTTTTATTATTTTTTGCATGTTTAGTACAGGGTCTACAGGGTCTCACTACACAGATCCAACGTATAGTGATCCTACCTGTTTTTCAGCCTCACAAGTGCTGGGATTACAGGCATGCACCACACGTCCAGTCTCAATTGCCCTCTCAGTGTGGCCCAGGGGCAGGGCGGGCATGGCACGCCGGGGATCAAACCCCCGGCCCCTGTATCTGTCTAAGCAGGCATTTTAATCTACTGAGCTATCTGACTGGACCATAATAGATCTTTGATGAGTGGTTAATGCACTAATAACTTGGTGCAAGAATTTTGGCAGGAGTCTATAGTTTACAAAGAGAGTTGGAGTTCTCCAAAAGATAACTCTTACAGGAGAGAGGCTTTGGATCCTGAAGGGTGAGACAAGCAACAATAAGAGCTGGAAAAGAACTGGCTATGTAAAAGCTAGAGTTTCTCCACAGTACAAATACTTCACCTTCATAGACTAAAGAAACACTGGACTTGTGCTGTTCTTCTGCTCACCCTTCCTGCCTTCCTGGAAATATGCAGATTCCGTCCAGTGGCTGTGACTGAAGTCTTCTTCTTGCCAGGATCTTTGCATAAAAAGCCAACATGGGCTTAAAGGAAGCTGAGACCATACAAGTACAAGTGAGGGTTATCATTAAGCTTTCTATCGTCTCAGGGTTGAAATTCTCAAAGCTCTTCATTAAATAAATTGTTCAATTTTTTCCACTTGCCAAACAAATTCAACTCCCTTGGGACACAAACTAAATACTTAAGTGTAATATTTTTCATCTATTATATGCCTCTGGAAGCATTATCAGGGGAACACAGTTCATTTCCTTCAAGTAAAATCTCACTTTTTTTTTAGTGTAGTGAAGAAGTCTTGAGTACTCTCTAAGGAAAGATTTATTTCTATAGAGAACCAGTCTTGGGAACAATCTCCCATAATATACTTCCTTCTAACAATCTTTGGAGGATTTAGAAATTATTTCAGATTGATAATGTTATGGGAGGAAATAAATTCTTTCTTTTCCATTTTCTTTAACATTTTTGTTTTTCAAATTTATTTTCCATGGAATAATTTATTTGGGCAGATAAAAGTGTACCTGTGTGTGACATACAGGACAATATTTAGAAGTGTTTCACACCATGTGAAGGTTAAATCTGAACATATTAGCACTTGCATCACCTCACCAGTTATCATTTTTGTGAAAGGAACACATGGCATCTACTGAACATTTTTTCAAGACTCTGAGATGTTTTAGCAAAGTAAAACAATTGCATTGAGATTAAATGTCTCATTTTGACCACTAATTGTCTTCCACATCTCATTGAAATGTCTTGCTGCTCTTTTAATGCTGGCATGGCATCTCTAAGACATCCATCTTATTTTTTGTCAGTGAGGTTGCCGATTTTTCATTTTAGAGTTGGTCACACCCTATGCTTTGTCTTTTCAGTGATGCTACATTTCCCTGATAGATATTTACTATCAGGGCCATGCATAAAGGTGTGAACATTTGAAGAAGTGGGAAATTAAATTTCATACTTCAAAGACTTGCTTTGTCTTATAATGCCTTTCAAGTAAGCTTGACCAGAGATTCTGAGCAGACAACCTGGTGTAGTCCTTTAACCTGGCCCACTGGGGCCAGTAGAGGATTAGGGAGTGCTCTGAGCCTCAAATCTCTGGTGCCACCAAGGTGCCAGTCTAGCATGGCATGGCCACATAGGCTGACACAGTACTGAAGCTAACACAAACCCTAATACCCAAGTGGGGCTG